GTCGAGGGACTCAAAGAAACTGGGTCCTATATATATCTGGGAAAGTGATGGAATAGTTTAGTGTTCACCATTTTAAATTACGTAAGTAGCCTTTTGTCTCACTTAAAAGCCAATGAGCCCCGTCTTTTTCGAACGTCATTTGGCGATATAATTGAATTTGTTTTCAAATCTTTTATTGGTATAAGTCGTATCTTTGAATTCATTACTTTAGGGATATGATATTTATGTGGAATTTTATTGATGGGACCCAATTAGTCAAACTAATGCACGGTTCAGATTTACAGATGTAAGTGCCCTAGATATATAGACCGTAGGATCAATACCCACTTTAGTTGTACTCATATCTTCGTATTTGAATCAAATAACGGAGGGTGCTATATTCCCTCTTGCATGTGTGAATCACACGTGTGTTGACTGGGTGTCGAGAAATTATTATTAGAAGCCAGCGATCTATGGTCGCAGCCGTTCCCGATAAAGAATTGATAGGGCCCGCACTCTCTCTCTCTCTCTCCGTCTCAGTTTTCTTTTATTTGCTTTTGGGAATATAATATACACTACTCTCTCTCCTCTCTCTCTCTCTCTCCCCAATAGACGACCATAGGTCCAAACGGCCCCCTCATCTCAATGGGAAATGTTTAGAACCTGTTTAATATCGTGCATTGTGCTTGCTCATATACAATAGTTTAAAAAGTGGACCGGTAACTTGGATCGGGCACCTAAAAAATCGATTTAAATTGACGAATCGGCGATTTAGATCGAAAATCGGTTAAATCGGTCGGATTAAAACTTCAAAAAAATCTGAAAAAAAATATTGAAATTCATTATAAATGTTGTTTTTTAGGAATTCAATAAGAAATGATGGTACTACGCTATTAACTTCTATTGCTTTCATCAATTTATAAATATTGAGATGTTTTTTCCCTGTATGAACTTATGTTGACCGTTAAATTTACATCTTACAAAATAAATCATAGAATTATCATGGATTAAGTATATAATCGTATATGGACTACAATAAAGAGTTGACTAAATCGATGAAAAATTGGCCACTAAAATCTTGAATTGACGAAGACCCTAATCCGCTTAAAAAACCCAAATTATTACAACCTAACTAACTATAATATTATATACCAATAATATTTTATAATTATTTTATTATATAAATAATAACAAATCCAAAATATTTTATAATATCATCTAATTTAAAATGTATTATTGACAACTGTAAGAAAAATAGTACACTACATGATTTATAATACAAAAATTAATAACTGAAATAAAAGATTTGGTTATCAATGTAGAAATTATTAGAATACGTACCAATTTTCTTTAATTTTTTAGGTTTCTAGAATAAATTAGTGGAAGAGATTGTTAGTAGAAAGAGACAGATTTCAAATGGCCTCATTGTATGAATCCTATCTTTAATTAATATTATTAAATTTACGTTAAAGACCGTCATGTTATAAAAATAAAAAATATAATTAGACCATTTATTCTTAGGTTGTATTAAGAAATGCCTTTTATTTTTTTGACAATAAATACTTATTGTGTTATCTTTTATTTTTTTTTAACAAGAAAAATATGATACTTGTTGATTATCTTCTTCTTTTTTTTGGACAAAAGAAGAAGATGTTGTACTACATTTTTTTTTGCTTGTTGTATTACTTTCTATTTTTTTTATCATGTGAGCTAGTACTAATTTTTTAATCCTAATTAACTAATTAATTAATTATTACTCATATAATGAAATAATACCATGATATAGTAGCTTAATAAAGTTTTTATGTTTTTTTGGTAAGTAAATTTAAATTTTTTTGGTGAAAGATAGTGGTGATGGGCACGTAATTATTATTTTTAATAAATTTTTTCTTTTTTTATCATCAAATTTCGTTGCCACAATCAGACATACAACTTTCTTATTCATGACGGGCATACACCGTTGTGCGTACACCATCGCGTGTACACTATCTCACTGCAATTTATCCCAAGCTAATAATATTTACCAGCATTTTTTCAACTCACAGATATATCCCATATCGAAGCGATGTGAGAAGAGTGCTGGTTTGTTGTATGTTGTCTTGGCCATGTGAGGCGTGTGTATTGCACGTTGTGACTTTTTAAGCTGACAAAAATTTGTCAATCACGTGGGAGGAGCAAGGTGGCAAAAATTTATCAATCACGTGGGGGAGTAAAGTGGAGAGCAAGGTGGTGGCAAAAATTTGTCAATCACGTGGGGGGAGTATAGTGGAGTGCCAGTTGGCATAAATCACATTTCAGAAAAACCAGGGTGGGTTCATAAAAAGAAAACCGGATTGAAAAATAAAAAAGTAGGAACCTCCCGGTTTTGTCGATACTACATTTGGATCGGTTATAACCGATACCTGATCCGGATCGCCCGATTCCGAATCGGATCGGCGATTTTATAAACACTGCTCATATATATGTACTTTCTCTCTAAAAAAATGCAAAAAAACCTAAATTACTTATGCTAGAAAAGTAATTTGGCCATGTATTTACAACCCAAATGTCAAAATTTCTACATTTTCGTGATTCAATGATTTAGGAGATCATGCTTTTTTGAAATATCTCATTGAATGCACTACCGTAATTGAAATATATCATTGGAATCATCACTACCCAAAATTGAACAAAACAACTTTTGAGGTTCTTAGTATTACTACTATATGGTAGTTTGTATATTATATTAAATCTCTCTCCTCTATATCTTCTCTCTCTTATTTGAATTCCCTCTCTCTTTCTCCCCCCCCCCCCCCTCCCCCCTCCTCTCTCTCTCATGGTGATCTCTCTCGCACACCAAGCATCAGCCTCTTAGGGCAATGTTAAAAAAATTTGAGCGCATCTAAAATATGGTCTTGTATAAGTATATACACTTACTCCCTCGGGTAAAGCCATGAAGCAAAGCCAATATTTCGGTAAGATTTGCAGTTGCTACACCTATCGAACCTGCATAGCTAAAAAAATAACTTTCACATTCCAATCTCTCACCATACCTCCAAAGTCTATTGCTCTTGGGTTACCCAATGAACTATCATTAAAATTAAGCTTAAAACATCCCCTAGTGGTGGGCACCAACAACTAACAGGCCTAATCTTAGGGGACCAGGATAGTGCTGAAGTGGCTAAGTTCAACCTTACATCCACCTCTGTAATATCCCCTCCCTCCTAGTAACTGAGAGCCAAGATAAATTAGTTTGAATATTATTATTGCAAATCACCTCCATAGGCAAGTATCTTCCCCTCAAACGTTCGTCTATTTCTTTCCTTCCACACTTCCCAAAGTGTAGCCCCCCTAATAATCCTTCATATTATTCTCCACAACTTAGGTAAACAATTAAAATCCAATTGAGATATAATACCCATGCATTCTTGAGGTAGAGTTGTCAAAACACCCTAATTTGCTGAAAAAAAAGTCCCAAATGCTCACAATAAGGCTGCAACGAACAAATAGGTATGCCATCGATTCCCCATCACTTTTACATATCAAACAAATATTCGGAAGACATTTCCTTCTTTTGATTATGTTGTCAACAGTCGGAATCTTATTCTCTCCAGCTAACCAAATAAAACACTAAGCCTTATGATGTATAGGTCATTTCCATACCTGGGCTATATGTGGGATTGACAACCTCCACCTATCATTGAATAGCAAAGCATACATTGACTTTATTGAAAAAAGACCATCATGATTAATCTCCCACGCCACTCATCCTCTATACCCTGACTAACATACAGCTCTTCTAACTCAACAAGCAATGATGTCAGTTGCAACATCACCACTTCAGGGACTCTATTATAAGGCAGTTGAATATTCCATAGAACTTGTTCTCCTAAAAGTCATAGATCTCCTCTATTGTAGCTTGAGGGTTGGATACTCTCGCAAAAAGCTCAGGGTAAGATAGCTTTAACGACTATTGTCCACACCACTTATGATGCCAAAAAGACACGAAGGAGCCTTCTCCAACACACCACCTCACATCCCTCGAAAATAAGACCTGCATGAATATATTTCCAAAAAACTGATATAGAGGAACTATCTCTCCCACTTTCAATCCACATCCCAAAAATGTCTACTCCATACTTAGCCTCTAAAACCTTACACTATAACTGATCTTTAAGAATAAGACTGCGCCACCACCACTTATACAACAATGCCTCATTTATAAGGCCAATCTTCCTTATCCATAATCCCCCTTCTACTTTCGGTGTACATACTCTATCCCACCTTAGAAGGTGATTTTTTTTTTCTTCACCAAGAGTTCTCCAAAGGAAGTCCCTCACCATCCTTTGAATCTTTTTAATCACATTGTTTGGCATTTTTATAAGTAACATTTGGTAAACTGGAAGATTAGCCATACACGATCTTAGCAATGTTACTCTCCCCCCTAATGACAGATATTTCGGCTTCAACAAATCAAGCTTACACTGAGCTCTTTGAATCACCCTATCCCACACTGATATACCTAAATGAGAATCCGATAATGGCAATCCCGAATAAGTGATCAAGAATTTATCAACCCTACATCGTAATGCCTAAGCTAATGTCTTTACCAATTGATCATTATAGTTAATCCCTATCAGCAATGTCTTTGCCAAATTGACTTTAAGTCCAACTGTTACTTCACAACAATTGAAAAAACGACCAATATCCTTAATATGCTCCTCATTTGCCTTACTAAAGATGAGGGTATCATCCACATATTATAAGTGAGAGATAATAGATCACTCCTGTCTCGTTTTAAATCCAACAAAATTTCCCTTATCAACCACATTATTTACCATCAAACTAAAACATTACCCATACAATGTATACAAGAATGGTGATAGGGGGTCCCCTTGCCTGAGACCCCTTGAAGCTATAAAAAAGCCTTTTGGATAGCCATCAATGAGCACCGAAAAATACACTAAGGATAGGCACCCAAAGATCCATTTCCTCCAATTTATCCCAAATCACATTCTCTTCATCATTTCTAAAATAACATTTCATTCAACCTTGTTATAGGCCTTTTCCATATCTAACTTAATAATCACTCCAGGCTCCCCACTTGTGTCCCTCGAATGGATACACTCTTGAGCTACGAGCACACTATCATAAATTAACCGGTTTTGGATAAAAGCATATTGATGACCTGAAATGACAAAATCCAAAACCTTCTTCAGCTTCCCTGCTAAAACTTTTGCCACAAACTTATACAGACTGGTTGGTAAACTAATAAGGTGAATGTTTGATAACACAGCTATAACTGACTCTTTAGGGATCAATACAATATAAGTTGGATTTATACCCTTAAAAAGTTCACCATTGTCCATAAAACTACTTGTCATTTGTAGAAGTTCTCCAGACACCATGAACTAATTTTTTTTTAGAAAAAAGCACAAGGGGAAACCATATGGGCTTGGTACTTTATCTCCAACCAATGCAAAAACCTCTTTTTCAACTCTTTTAAGGAAACCACCTCCTCCAATTGTACCACCATATGGGACGATAGTACTTTAAAAGAAATGTGATCCATCATAGGAGTGAATCACACTTCTGAAGTGAAGGCCTTTTGGAAGTGGTCAATAATTGCTTGATTGACTCCACTTCTATCATCTGAATCAATGTCCGGGATAGATAGCCTAGATATATTATTCTGCCTCTTACGGGCACTAGCTATAGTATGAAAGTGTTTCGTATTTTGATCACCATCTTTCAGTCATTTTACCCGTGATCTTTGCCTCCAATAAATCTCTTCAGATCCACGACAATCACTTAAAGATTTTAACATCTCTTTCCTAGCAAATAAAACACTATCTGAAACACTCCCTTCTTCTTGGATCGACTGATATATGGCTTGAATATCAGCTAAGCAACTTTTAATTTTCTCTAAACTGGTATCTATTTTCCTTTTTCCACTCAATCAGTTTATGCTTAACATTTAACAATTTTTATTCAACTAAAAGTCTAATGATCCAAAAGTAATTGTATTATCCCAAGTACTCCTAACCAAATTTACAACTTGATGCTCTTCTAGCCAACCAATCTCCAACCTGAAAGGTCTAGGTCCCCTAATAAAATTACTCGAACATAAAATCAAGAGGTGATGATCTAAAGATAATCGTGGTAAAGCCTTAACATATGCCAAAGGAAAAGTCTCTAACCACGCATGACACTAGAAATCTATCAATTTTTGTCATGATGAGAGCAACCATAGAATTATTCATCAAAGTAGATAGGGCACCCACCATAAGCATATAAAAAATAACATTATTTTAGTAAACCTATTAAACAACCCCATTGACGAATTTATAGTACCTTTGGAAGAGGAGTCATTCGGCCAACGAGTGAGGTTGAAATCAGTTCCAATACAGAATGGAACATTGTACAGAGATAGAAAACCCTAAATTTCATTAAGAAAACATTCTTTTAAAGAACTAAGATTTGGTCCATAGACATTTAGTAGTCCCTCAAGAAAACCCAGACATAGGTTCGCTAAAAGTAACTCCCAAAGATCTATACCCCTTAAAAACATCAAGCCATGGCAAAATTTGTGGATTACACAACACCCATAGACCTCCTAACGCCCCCATTGAATCTACACCTTCAAAACAAACTGACCCACGACCCCAAACTTCCCGCACCCCAGCAAGAGTAGGGCTAGGAAGCTTGGTTTCTTGCAATATAACAACATCAGGTTTATATTTACTAACTAGAAACAAAACATCCATCTTCCTACTAACATCCCCCAAACCCCTAACATTCAAATTTTAAAAAAATCATTTACGAAGAGAGGATACCCTTAGGAGGTGGTCCAAAGTAGTGCTGCTCCAGCATCAGTGCAATATCCGTTGAAGAAGTATTCGAACGATCAGATGAAGACTCTGAATTTCCACTACTAATTTCCACCAGAGTTGGCACACCAACTGTATGTCAATTAATGACCACTCTAGAGCCCCTCGACGCCAATATAGCTGGCACCGACTGTTTTCCTTTAGCCCTCTTTGACCCTAAACGATTAGGCATATTCTCAGGAGTAATAATAACATCTTTATGCTTGGTATTCACCTCTGCCTCCACCACTTCAAGCACCACCTTCTCCTTCATCCTATCCATATTTTCAGCAGCTACTTTCTTACTTCTAATGTCCTCCAGAATCACTGCTAAGGGAACTTCTTCAAGGTAATCTAACCCCATATTCTCAACCATGGCCTCATTGAAGTTATCTTCTAACCCATCCAAAGATTCAACTTGAGCTTCCGGAGCAAGAAAAGCCAGAATCTCCTCTTCTCTCGGTAAGACGCTCAAAGGCTAACTTTCCAATTCCACAATAGGTAACTCTGAATCCAAGACATAAACGTCTTGATCATCTCCCAACATCTCACCCCTCTAATCTGTACCTTCATCTTTCGACTCCAACACAGGTATGACTGCCAAAGGATCCACCATCATAGGGTCGAACGTAGGCTTAGCCTCAGGATCAATATATTTCTTTACTACCCTCTTACATGGCTGAATCTTCATTATCACTGAAGCTGCTAACAAACGGGATAAGAAACCGAAAACTTTTTCCACCGTCTCTTTTTACACTAAGGGCCTGTTTGATGACTAGAAGCAAGTTCATGAACTGTAAATTGGAAGTTCCTCATTGCTGGGAAGATAGAAGTTACTATAAGAAGTTCATGGTTTCTTTGTTTGATAACTTCCTGTGAAGTTAAAGAAGTTCCTAGTTTTTGTGTTTGATAACCTCCTCGGAAGTTAAAGAAGTTCCTGGTTTCTGTGTTTGATAACCTCCTAGGGTTTATACTACGCAACATGCCGACATATCTTTCATTTTCATTTAAGAATGCATTACCCATTTAAATAATAAATTAATACTACTAGGGTCAAATTTTCAAATCCAATTTCTCCAAGCTCAAAGTCAATCAAATGCAGGACAATGTATTGATACTTGATCAAGACAGTCTCTACTAATATTCTACTAATACAAGTGGACACATCATCTAACATTTCCAATTAGTATGTAAATGTGTGTTTCAAAGCATAAGATCGCTTTTCTTTTCTTTTCAGTAAGTGTAACATCACCTTTCAGTTTCTAAATCATGTTAATAATCCATAAATAATAAGAAAATAGGCAGCAACACTAGTATCAAAAAATGTGAGTATACATAAAATTTGTGCACTTAGATGATGATTCTTAGTTGCGCTTAAACAAAGCAATTTCTTGTACTGCCTTCTTGAGGATTGTTTGTAATATCACCATCAGTCAATGACTCAATTAATATGTATTGCATTCCCAGTAAGTTCCACGTGCAGCAACAAAATCAACTCAATGATGGCAGAATGGACAACAATATGAACAAGATGGTCAATAAGTTTATTATAAACAGGGACTGAGAAAATTCATAAAAATAAAAAATAAAAAAGAAGAAGAAGAAGGGAGAATGCCAATCTAAAAAAAAAAGCAATCAAATACTTACAAAAATACTGGGTTACCCTTAGCTCTAGAAATGCGTAAACATCATGTTTTATTCCAATGCATTTATGACAATGCCATCTTAAGCAAGTAGTTCATTGCTCACATAATTTCACATATACATTATCAATCTGGCAAACACACAATAACATTGTGCAATACTTCCAATACAATGTTCAATAAGCCACAGGCTCAATTGTGTGGAGAATTTACCAAGGATTTTCTTTAATTCTTATTCCTTTAAATTGGTTTTTCCTCTTCTTATATGTTTTACAAGCACAAGAACATCCCAAATTCCATATAAACCAAACAAGAACAGAGAACCATAAATTTGAGCAATCTTAAGCAACCATATCAATCCCAAATCTAAGAGAAAAAAAAGCAAAAAATGAATCCGTCTTTGAAGATTCAGAAACTAATATATTCATGGAGTTAAAAAATGAACAGAAATACCTAGGAGGCAAGCGATTGAAATGAGTTTCTAATTGCTCTATGAAATCAGGAGTAGAAGCTTCTTCAAGGCCACTTCCCACACGCCTATCAAAGAATTTCAAAAAACCAGAAAACCATAAGGCCTTATGAAAACCTAGATTTTGCTCAGTGTTTTTACCCCTCTATAGCTATGGTTGATTTAACAGGTTTTCCCCAAATTTTGTAAATTAGGGTTTTGAAAGCCATGGAAGAGGTTCAAAACAAACAGGAGATATTTAGGAACTTCATCATTGGATTGCCCAAAGAGATGGACATGGAATTGAGGACTTCAAATCTTACGCTGAAAGTTGCAGAGGATTTCAGAGCTTTGATTGTGAAGAATCTGTACCTCTCTTGCAGAGGGTTCCAGAGCCTTGGTGAGAGCCTAACTGAGCTGCAGAGAGACTGAGGTACCAAGAAGAGAGGCTGGCAGAGCCTTGGTGAGAGCCTAGCTGAGTTGCAGAGAGGCTAAGGTGGGAAGAAGAGAGGCAGGCAGCGTGAGGAAAAAAAAAATTGGGGTGAAGCATTTTTATCTCGTGAACGTCCATTACAAACTTCCCTTTTTCTTTTTTTTTTAAGTTCCGTAGTTTTCCACATAACTTTTTTTACCTGTAAAAGAGGAAAGAACTAGAACACAAATAAGTTTTTTAAAAATCTTATTTTTTTTTATCAAACACAGACGATGAACAGTAAGAGGTAAGTTTCAACTTATGGTAAGTAACTTCTTGTTATCAAACACACCTTAAGAAATAACCGTTGAAGCCAACCAAAATAGCAACTATTAGGCCAAGCCTCTTCAATGAACACATTAGATAATATAAAGGGATAAGCTTCAATGGCTCCTCCACTGGGAAGCATCATTTTCCATGAAGATGATCATGATGAGTTGTCAATTCCAATATCTTACCCTCTGAATTTGCTGCTTGAATCTCCTCAACGGGTGTAAGTGATTTCCTTTCCAAAACAATTTTTTCCACCACCTTATGAGGACCATTCACAGATGCAGGATCCACCACTATGCGTCTATTACAAAAGAGAGAGAAAACTGAATTTTGGATTCTTCAAAACTTTAATCTTATTGTCTAAAATTTGGATGGTCTTTATTTAATATTGGGATGTTTATGTTTTTTTTTTTTGAGGAAAAGTTTATATAGAGCCGAGGCTCTAAACAATCAAATTAGAGCCTACCTCAAAAATTTCACTAGAAAATGTTGTTTTAATTCCCAAGTATCCTCAAATTGATCATCTCCATGTCAAGATGCATGGACATGAGAAAAAAAAATGGATTTCAAGTTTTGGAACGTTAATTTTCAAGATTTCCAAGTTTTCATAGGTCTGTCGATCTACATTATTTTTTAAACTTTAAATTTTATAAATAAATATGCAAATATATTTTAAGGTTGTCCCAAAGATTTCCAGTATTGA